GCAGGATCATGATCAGTGCGTGTGCTCCTATTTATTACTCACATGCAAGTAGTAGCTATAACCACTAGAGGGCAGCTAATTAAAATATTTGAATAACAAAACTATGACGTTAAGCAGATAGAAAAGATTTGTCTATCAAATCATTTGCAAATGTAACCGCATCAATCAGTTCACCCTGGCATGTTACATGATCACCTGATTGTTTTCACAACACACAGAAAACAATATTTAAAAAAAGCCTCTCTAAAGTTTTAAAATTAATGAGACTTAAAACAATTACAATTCTTTTGAATTTTGTGATGTAGATCAAAAGTACAAATCCTTTTACAGCTAGTTGTATAGTTTAATATTCTATTTTGTTGTAATTTGTGATATAAGTAGCATTAATCCAACTGATGGGATGAAGGTGTCAATCACCAGACACTATGGAAAATTATTGATTTAAAAAAATCTAATCAAGTCTTAACTATATGTCCTCAGATATACTTGTTCTTATTTTTTATTTAGTAGGTTGATGAAATTATTTCGACCTAGAAATAACAAGCAGGTCATTTATCTTCAGGTAGCTTTTTGTTTGGATGCCAGGATGCTTTTACGATTCAAGTATGACATTGATAATATCATCTTATATTATTATGAAAATAAGTCGTTAGGAATCTGAAAAGTTAAAGAACCCAACCCAACATACCATGATTTTTGGGAAAAGTGGTAATGTTTTGGTACATCAAATAACCAGTGAGTTGCAACATTACACCCCACACATAGTCGTCTCTCTTCTGTAGATCATAATGGATTTCTCTATTGGAATATTTTGGGGGCTCCTTAGCCTGGGAGCTTGATGGTGCTTCTCAGTATGCTGCTGTCCCTAGAACTGCACATTTCTGGACTGACATCTCTCTGGTGTTCCCCCAGGGATCTGTTGGAGCCACCTTTCTAGTGTGGCTTACTGTCTTGACTTCTCCTATATATATATATATATATATATATATATATATATATATATATATATATATATATATATATATATATATATATATATATATATATATATATATATATATATATATATATATAAACTCTTCCTCTTTTTTTTTTTTTTTTTTTTTTTACAGTGTCCTTACTGGCAATGTAGCAATAAGAATAATTGTCTTGATTCCAAAAAGAGCCTAACAGATTTTACTTTCACAAGTGGAGCAGCACGGATAATGCCATAGTGTTCCGCTTGATTTATGTATATAAGTAGCTTTATTATAATTCGTGCAGGGAGGATTACAGATTATATGGACATTGCAATTTAAATAGAACAGGAAATTAAAAACTGAGAAAAAAGGAAAAAAAGATTAAAGAAAGGGGAGATGAAAGAGAAATAACAATAAAATACCTTCAGTCTGCTTTATCACCTGCAAAGAGATGTGAAAAGAACAGCACAACCAACGGATATAGTATAAGACATACAATAAAGTAACACCTTAAAACTATCTCTGAAGTATAAGTAGTATTATTTAATCTGACATGTATACTGTGGTAGCTGAAGATAAGAATGTGGGCTTTCTGTATGGAAGTGAATCTCTAACCACCTGGAACCAAGCACCTGTAGTTGTTTATGAGAGTGCACTTGTGCATGTAAAGTTTATCCAAAGTAAAAATGCTCAATAGTGGTTGTGAAGAGCTGAAGACGCAAAGAAATTCTTCCTCACCCACTGGGCTGTCTCCTATTTTTCCTCCAATAAATATAAAAACAATAAAAAAAACAATCAATTGGACTTGATTTCCAAGTTTGAAGATGTTTCTCTTCCCATCCAGGAAGCTTTTTTATTTCAAAATGTCAGAATTAGCGTTGAGTTCGAAGCTTGCCATTAGAGTGAGGACCATTTTTCAAATTTCACTATCCCAATGAGGACCTGCTGTTGTAAAGTGAAGACATTTTGCTGGTCCTCACAAGCTATTTTGCTAATGGTTAAGTCTAGGGCTAAGGTGTCAATTGAGATATGGTTAGGGTGAGCTATGCATTGGTAATGGTTAGGTTCAGGGTTAGTTTTAGGGTTTGGGCATAGAGAGGGTTGAACTGACTGAAAATCAATGGACGTCAATGGGAGTCGATACATGGTCCTGACTACATATAGTAGAACAAACAGGTGTGTGTGTTCAACTATAATATGGGGGCAGTGTTTTATAAAATATCTGACATTGTGGGAGCTTGGGTATATGTTGGTAATGGTTAGGATAAGAGTCTAGGTTATGCTGTATCACCACAATTTCCCCATTGTGGGACAATAAATGGATTTTCTATTCTATGAAATGTCCCCATAAATCATGAAAATAAAGCTGTGTGTGTTTCTATGTGTATATAGTTTCTTACCTTTATATAAAGAAGATGTAGAAAAGGGTTTAGGACTATTTTTAAATAGTACATCATTATTTATGAATTTATTTATTTATTTGTTTTTACAAAAACTATTAAATAAATTATTAAAGCCATATTGCCTAATATGAGATAAGTTCGAATGAAAGCAAGGGCTTCATAAGTAAACTCCTTGGTGATTAGAGTTAATCAGATCTCAGTATACGTTTGGTTGTCTCATGGGATTGTCAGAGAACATAAGTAAACAAACAGCATCAGGAAAACGAAGGATGGCAGCAGACAGGACAGGTTGTGTAGGAATTCCTAGTGTTAGGGTTTGAAACAATATCACAAGCTTTTAACTTCTCACAAAGTACTGTTGAATATTTCCAAAGATATCATCTATGAGTCCAACACACCAAAAAAAAATTTCTTTATGCAAGCAGAAAGTATTTTTTAACACTGCTAACAGGTTGAAGAAGATGTTCCTTTTCCTTTAGGCACTACATGCCAAATGCGATGAGCACTCTAAATCACCTGGAACTCACCATCCTCAAACCTCGGTGTGGACCATGAGGACTTCAAAATTGATAATTAAGAGGCAACACAACCAACTCCCATTGATTATGCATTTGCAATTTACTGCAGGGGGAAAATCTACTTAAACCCTTTATTAAATGTGTGTTCTTTTTATTGACTGACTAAATATGTTACTGTGCTCCAGAATAAATTATATGCAGACAAACATATAAGCTGCTATCTCACCTTTTTTGATTGAATGTTTGACTTCTAAAGCTCTTTCACTTAAAACATGACATGGAGCTGAAAGTCACATAAAAGACATGGTTATCATATACTTCTGATCATTATTACTTCTCACTGACATTTTCTCACAAGAACTGACCTAAAAGTGGTAAGTAGTGTGCACCTAACACACGATCCAACTTCCTCCCTATAAAAATGAAGTCAGCACCCAGGAAGCCACACTTTGGCCACCCAACCCGGCACTTCATTTCCTTTGAAAGCAGTGGAAGAGCACCACCATCCCCTGATACACATCACTATAAGTGCATGTCAATGAGGTGCAGATGACAGGAGTGCATTGTGAGTTGGGTGCTGAGTGGGAAGCGCCATGTGACACTCCTGAATGGGCAGCCGGGGGTTGGCAGGAGGGAGAGGATGGTAGCATCCACAAAGGCGCATTCAGGGATTGCAGAGTAGGTACAAGACTGGCACTGGTCCTCCTTCCCTTCCCTGGGACAGCAGGAGGAGGCTGTTGCTTGGTACTGACTGAATGTTTTTTTTTTTTTTTTGAATAATGGGGAAGAATAAGTTTATTATCCCATATAGGACTTCCTCCAGTCTCTTTATGGACATTATGTCACTACTTCATTGTGTGACTGACAACCTTGTCTTGTTCATGTGGCCTCTGAGACCGAATAGTGTTTCCAGCGAGACAAACTTTTTGAAACGCTTCTCCTTGCAGAACTGTTCCTAACCCCTCTAACTTTTCTATTTTGTCATATCGAAACGAAAGAACTCATGTATTTCACCCTAGCTTTAATAATGAAGCTAGTTAAACTAGATCCTTATAGTGAAATGGAGTGGAAAATTATGGCTTTTAATTTTTTTTTCAGTTAAAATTCTAAAAACACTATTCAGCTGTACACGCTGTACCGGCTCTGTTGTTGTGAAGAGAGAGCTGAGCCAAAAAGGCAAAGCTCTCGATTTACCGGTCGATCTACGTTCCTACCCTCATATATGGTCATGAGCTTTGGGTCATCACCAAAAGAACGAGATCCCGGATAAAAGCGGCTGAAATCTACCCGGGATCTCCCTTAGAGATAGGGTGAGGAGCTCAGTCATCCGGGGAGGACTCAGAGTAGAACCGCTGCTCCTCCACATCGAGAGGAGCCAGTTGAGGTGGCTCGGGCATCTGATTAGGATGCCTCCTGGACGTCTCCCTTATGAGGTGTTCCAGGCACGTCCCACCGGGAGGAGGCCCAGGGGGACACCCAGGACACGCTGGTGGGACTATGTTTCTCAGCTGGCCTGGGAGCGCCTTTGGATTCCCTCGGAGGAGCTGACCCAAGTGGCTGGGGAGAGGGACGTCTGGGCCTCCGTACCGAAGCTGATACCCCAAACTCTGGATAAGCGGAAGATGGATGGATGGATGGATGGATGGATGGATGGATGGATGGATGGATGGATGGATGGAAAACCCTTTCTGTACAATTATATCCTGCAATGCCAGGTCAATAACTTTGTAAAACTCAAGTGGAAAGCCTTCCCACAATAATGATGCTGCCAACACCGTGTTTCATAATGGGAATGGTATGCTCACTGAGTTAGTGTAGCTCAATACATATTAAAAGATAATAGGTCTGTAAAATATTTCATTAGCTCAGTATTTTAAAAAATGATTGATTTACAAAACGCTTCACTTTAAGTCTCATTTGTCATAATTCATGGGTTGAAATATTTCTAAAATACTGTTTTAATTTTGATCATCATGTATCCTCCTCTTTTCTCTCAGTGAAGCATCTCCTCCACAGTAGAGGCTGTTAATCCCGCATGTACCCCTCCTCCTCCTCCTCGCCCAGTGTGCCGATCAGACTGGGAGGAGGTGGGACCTATCCACTGGTGGTAGTGGGTGAGTAACCGCGTACGTGCAAATCGTGCAGACTGCCAAAGGCGAGCGTCAGAAACGAGGCTTTCTGTTCAGTAACTGCGAACCCCTCCTTCATTAAACCAAATATCGGCCTCTCTCTGGTTCGGTCCAGATTAATTCCCCGGATCGGAACCAACAGTATCTGCTGCAGCTCTGAGAACATCCCAGGCGGAGCTGGTTTGTTTGTGATGAGGAGGTCGCCCTGCTGCAGGGCTTTGCGTAACATTCAGATAAGAAGGAGGAGAGGACATTTTTTTTTTTTATCGCGAGGACTTCTTTCACTTTGGCTTCAGTCTTAAAATAAATGGTTTTGTGAAGAAATAAGCACCTGACATTTAACACTACTACAGACGCCGGACAAGGGGAAATAACTGGTGAGTCTTTGGTTATTTAAACATTTATCTTTTTCTACAGCAGAAACTTAGGGTGATGCTGTCAACTTTACATGCACCCTCATTGATTTAGCCGCCCTTTTTAAACACCGGGGGCATCATTTAACGTCATATATATGTAATAAACGATGCGGATATTGGTTTGAAGGTGTAAAGGCGTCTTTAAAATATGTTTAATGTGTCAGCTCGGTGAGAGAACCGCCGGAGTTGAGTGACGCTGTCATTGGTAGCAGCTTTGGGGTTAGCACTGCTAGCTTCATCAGCCAACCGCCGCCCAGCTGCTGGAAAAAAGCAATAAAACCTTCGAGGATGACTGAGATTCTGGGGGAAATATCTGATTAAAACATCCCGATATCTGGTAAAAAAAATAAAATAAATACTTAGATTTAGTATTTTTATGCTATCGTGATGCTAATGTTTGCTGGTTTTAATTGTTTTACTCAGAATCCAGTGGTTGAAAGCTTAACTCGCCCAAAAATATTAAAAAGTGATGAAGAAAAAGGATCATAAACGCTTTAATTTTCCTCTGGTTAGCGAAGCCAACCTGCTACTGTGTGCTTTATGTGTGAGTGGACTCATCTGCCATTTCACTGCACCTATTGCTGTAAGGTAGTGAAAATGGAGCTGATCCATATGAATCCAGCTAATGTTTTTAGTGTTCTTAAGGGAGTAATCATCATCTCCCTACCAGCAGAGGCATAGCCAGAATATTTTTTATAAGGGTGGCCAGGCAATAACCAAAGTACACTGAAGGGTGGTCGAAAGCGGATCGGCACCAGAACCTTAGGATCAAAATATATAACCAACCACAACATCCATATTTTCTAAATAAAGAAAAAATATACTTTCCTACAGCCTTTGCTAACAAATAGGCGCACATATTTAAACATCCTTCTAGATCAGGCATCCCCAAAGTCGGTCCTCGAGGGCCGCTGTCCTGCAGGTTTTAGAGGTTTCTCTGCTTTAGCACAGCGGATTCTGATGATTGCAGTATAGCAAAAGCCTGTTTATCAACTATCAATGTAAATCAGCTGTGCTGGAGCAGAGAAACCTCTAAAACCTGCAGGACAGCGGCCCTTGAGGACCGACTTTGGGGATGCCTGATCTAGATAAAAGTTCTTCCAGGTTTGAGTTCTGGGTCGAACATCTTTTCCATTGTCATTACTTACCTAATTTGATCAATACTCGTTTATTTACAATCATATAATTGATATCTATAAGTGTTTATTTACTAAGTTTTTATTAGAGTAGTTATTTATCTATTACTTAACTGAAGACTGACTTGCATTTTGTCTTTACCCCATATAGCAAAAATCTAGTTCTGAAAAGAGCATGAATTCTGTATTTATCATCTTTGATGTTAGTATATTGACGTGTCTAATTAACCACTGTGTTTTTGTGGTCAAGTAATTGTTAATCTATGAAAAAATAAAATGTTTTGAATATTGAGAGTATTACAGTAGTATCACTTGAGAGTATTACTGCTGCCACTGTCGCTATTATGGGGTAAAAAATGAAGATTGGGTAAGGATGGCCATGGCCACCCCTGGACCCCCTCTAGCTCTGCCCCTGCCTACCAGACTGCGATCTTAAGTACAGAATATAAACAACAGCTAACCGCCTGCAGGGTGTCTCATGAGGCTGTAGCTTTAAAGAGGAAATTGAAGATTCTCCTGTGGATTCAAAAGTTCACATTTGTTTAACTTTCTGTGCACTGACCTCCAGGATCAATAAGAGGAAATGAGGATTTGTGGCAACAAAATCGCATTGAAATGAAAAGTTTCAGCCTTCAGCTCTGTTAGCTTAGGTTGATATTGTTTGGTAATATATAGAAATGCAGCACTTTAAACTCCTTGTAAAGCTTTGACCATGATACTGAATTGGACTAGTTAGAATTTATAGTTTTATCCATTCAAACTGCACTTGTCATAGTTTTTCTTGGTTTTATATTAGGCACTGAGGTGATGTCATGCTGTTTGTGTGATAAGTCAATGTAAAGCACAGTTTCAATGCTTTCACATCTGACACACCCTCGCTGGCCTCTAATATTGATGGCTCAGTGTGGCTAGCATTACTAAACACCCCTCTCCCTGTCTGTTCTCTAATTAATAGAGGGTAATGCTTTAAATCTGACATTTGTAAAAGGTTGCAGACTTTTTAAAATCCTGCTTCTGTAATGATGCAGAGAAATCTTTCTGATCGTCCTGCAGTTCTGAACAGCGGACATGTCTCAACAAGTCTTTCATCTTGGTGTTACTTCCTCTTTAAAGGAGATAGTTTTACTCCTCCCATCAGTAAGTGGTCCACCTGCCCTCTCCTATTGTTCCAACCTTCAATTATTCTGTTTGCTAGATAGCTTCCAGGTCCAACAATGCTGATGCTAAACTTGTTCTAATAATAAATAATAATAGTTGAACTTTATTGATCTCACACTGGAAAAATTAACTCTCTTTATTTTGACCCATCCCCTTGGGGAGCAGTGGGCTGTCACCGTATGGCGCCTGGGGAGCAGCGTGGGGTTAAGGGTCTCGCTCTGAGTACAGGCTTTGGGGATCGAACCGGGTACTTGCCTGAGCTCCATCTCATGTGACGTTTACCTACTGTTCCTATTGGTGCAGAATCATTTTGGAGCTAGAAGTATATATTTATAAGTTTTGGAAATTTCTTCTTCTTCATATAACATGTATACACCAAGAAAACTGTAAACCTTAAATGTAATGTCTGTGGATTCAATACCGAAACCTGATTTAATGGTTTTGGTTCAATCCCTCCCTTGAGGTTAACCATCAGGGCAGGGGATGGACCACATTGGTGGATGAGGAAACTAAACCTAATGTCGGTGTGTTTAATATGATGTCATTACCTTCCTGTTTGGACTGACTTCTGACAATTTCACTGGACTTCCTGTGTGTTCTTCCAGCATTGACTGTAAAAATGGCAGCACCCCACCACTGGAATACGGTACTTGTATAATTATGAGGTAGTTCCGACTTAAGGTTATGGTATTTTTGAATTCTCCTCTGGACAGTCATCGGTCAGTTCTACTTAAATAAAATCCATCTGATTCTGGTAAACCACCGATACCTCAGTAACGCGGTATGAGAGCTTTCGTGTTTCACCCATAGTACATCTTTATATTGGCATTACATAGCATACAATGCTTTCTTTTACCTCTGCTGTGGTTTGTTGCTGCATTTTAGACAATTTCCCAAGCCAGTAAGGGTGAAACTGAACCCGAACTTTAACTGCACTGCAGATATACCTAAGATTCTAAGTTTTGGATTTTAAACCATAATCTCCAGAGAGCATTACCCAAGGATGCGTCTTTGTTTAATGAAGTCAGGGTTTCTGCAAGGTCATTAAAAGTCATTAAATTATTATTTTTTTAGATTAAGGCCTTACTTGGCATTAAAATGCATTAAATGTGATTATCGTGGCATTTAAAAACAATTTCATCAGATATATCAGGTATAACTGGTTCCATGTGTTTGTGATCATAAAGCCTTATGTTTGGAAAAGAAGCTCGAGGCAGAGAAAAAGCTAGAGAATAGGGGGAAAAATGCAAATTTCAACTAAAGTGGCTGGAAAATGTGCATGCATCCATCCTGTCGACAGTAAAAATGAAAGAGGATTTTTCTGTGTTTTATATTTTTATATATATATAAGGGTCATGGGTACTCATTGATGGTATTAGGATTATTTCTAAGAGCATTAAAACAGCATTAAGAAGCATTAAATTAGAGTTCCTCATTCCTGTATAAACCCTGAGAGTGGTCCAAAATAAAACAGTGAGCACACAATTTTTAGAATTCCTCCTCAGCCTCCCTCATATTCTGGCCAGCCTGGCCAACTCTGACCACTTTATGCTTTCTTTTTCATTGTTGTTTTACCGTCTATCATTTTGTAAAAAAAAAAAAAAAAAACCCAGACAATTATGGGATCTGTTTTCATTGTGTCACTACATGTGCTACCATTTTTAACTGGGGAGGATAAAGTGGTAGTTAATACACTTGATGGGCTGTAAATACACCCGTCTGTGCATTTGATTTATGAAAATGAACGCCTGTTTGCATAAGTTGGGGACACAGAGTTGGCAAAAGACACCTACCGCTCTTGATATTATATTTTCATAGAACGCCACCCTTAAACTGCTTGTGGTGCAATTTGCATCTCAGCTGAATCCTTTTCATGCTTTATGAATCTACAAACTGGTATGCTTGCTTCTACTGAACACATTTGATTAAATGAAAAGTTAAACCACCGAGCAGTTAGTAGACTGAGCAAATCTTTGCCAATAATAATCTCTTAAGATAACACCAACAGTTGATAAGATTTGAACTACTGTTGATGTTTTATGTACTGAAAGGAAAAGTAGCCTGCTTCTCTGCAGATTACGGAGGTCAGCTGAAATCTTTCTCGCAGTCATCAGATTGGAAATATCACAGTTCTGTGGAGAGTTATCTTTACTTTTTGCAATCTGGCAAAAGTCTACTTCCAATTAGTTGCTTCAGTTTTGCACTAAGCAGGATAAATTGCTGCTGCTAATTATTTCTTTTAAATTGAGGCAAGCAGCAAGGGTGCTTTTTACCTCAGTTTTTAATCCCTCTTGAGATGGATTTAAAAAAAATCATAATTTTAAACTTTTATAAGGTTTAAGCCTCTTTTTACAGCACATGTTATAGTACTAGTTACGAGAGCAAGCTAAAAAGGAAGCGAGGATTACTACTTATAGTGTAGACTCCTTCCTCCAGTTAAAAGCTTAAATAGTCAAATTACATAAGAGTTTTGGTCTATCCTTAAAACAGTAGTTTTTGTCAAAAAGCTTGACCAACACTCTTTTCTGTCTAATTTTAATAAGCTCGCCTGCTACACTTCATTTAGCAGCAGAGAGCCAATAGAACATTCAGTGCTTACCCAGGAGCTGTTCTTACATATGCACCTGGGATTATTTCTACAACAACTGCATGTGGCAGCACAAACCT